ACCATGATACAGCAAAATCCTGAGAAAACTAAGCAAGACAAATTGTAAAATTACAACTCTTGAATTTTACAAGAGCAGATCTCAGCTTGCTCAAGGATCTGCACAGAGGCAGCCCTGAAAAACACAGGAATGAGAGAACTGGTTAATCTCAAAGGAAAACTTTCTCAAAGCAGTCCATGTAATCCATTCCAACATGCAACTTTAACACTTGCCAGCAAAGACAAACACAGTGTAGCACTGTGGGCTATCTAAGAGGAACACAGAAATACTGCCTCAGCATGCACAGGTTGTATTAGAAAGGCCAAAGCTCAGGTGCAGGTGAAAAATCCATAAAACCAGAGGGCCAAAGGAAGAGCAAAGAGCAAACTGAGGAAACTGGCCTCCTAAATCCCTGAGCCTACTGTCAGAGTCTGAAAAAGTATTAAGGAGCATTTCAGCAAATTGGGCAAACAAATTCGTAGAAGCAGATGGGATGCCTCCAAGAGCTGAAGCGGCTGACTGCTGTCCCTGCAAGGCCTCTCTCTCGAGAGCTTTGGAGAGGTCCTGGTCATTAGGGAGGTTTCCCCATGAATGCATGAAGTAAAGCAGGGCAAGAAGGTGACTACCTGGGTAGCTGCAGGCTGCTGTGCCTAACCTCAGTCTGCTGGAAAACTGTGAGGCAAATCCTTCTGGAAGTCACTGCTAGGGAAACAGAGGACAAGCCTGTGCTTCGGAACAGCCCAGATGGGTTTGCCAAGCTAAGCCAGGCCTGCCTGACCCGACTGCCTTCCCTGGGAGGACAATCGATGCTGCGGCCACAGAGCGAGCGGTGGGTGGTGTGGATCCTGCTTAAGCAAGGCCTTGGGCATGGACTTGCCCAGGGCTTTTGCAGCCAGACTGGTGAGATGTGGCCTGGACAGGGCTGGTTTGGAGCTCGAGTGCCGAGCTCCAAGATTTTTGAGCGCAGCCGAGAGTCCAGCTGGCAGCTGTAACTCGTGGCATTTCTTGGCCTTTCTCGGAGGTTGATGCTAGGGCTGATTCTCTTCTATGTCTTCTTGGCAGACTGGTATGAGAGGAAAGAGCACCCACCAGCTCGTCTGTGCATGATGCCAGCGCCAGCCTGGGATGAACGGCTGATGTGCTGGAAGAGAAAAGGAGACTGAACCAAGTGACCACTAGTGATTCTGTTGGTAACCAAATGACAAGCAGTGATTGTTAGGAAACACAATGGGTACGCTTGTCTAGCGAGGACACTGCACCATTCCTAAAAGAATTTCCTTCACAGTTCTGTATGTTCCCTTTTCACACTGAAATCTTCAACTTAAGCTTCTTCCCAAGTTACCAGCGTGCATTTCCCACAGCATCATTTTGCTGATTTTTAAGTCAGTATCCCTTATTGGATCCTTCTCTGATCCCAGCATTCTCCTAAAATTTGTGCCTAAGTCCCTATTAGCAAAGGACAACCCAATTGAAACTGCCAGCCCATGTTGCAAAGTAAAGAGAATAAAGGTTTGTTTCAAAAGAAGTGCAAATAATTGACAAATCTTAAACATGAGCAAAGATTCATCTTCCTGAGCCACAATGCCTGGAACTAAACTATTCAAGTTGTTTTTCTTTCCTGAAAAGACAGCCAAGATGGAATATTTCAAGCCTTTTTCTTTTCTTTTCACAAAAGTTATATAAAAAAAAAAAAAGTTATTAAAACCTATTTCTAGCATTTTCAAATGCAATATATTCCAGTATGTTTCCTTATTGAAAGTCCTCTCCCTTTTTTAAAGCTTTCAGAATACTAGACTCATAAGAGAAATCAGGGCGTTTTATCCCAACTGTATTTGCACTAGCTTCACACCAGGAAAACCAGATAAACAAATAGCCCTTATTGCTAATACTGATTTGTGCATAAGGGATTCATTACAGAAAGCAGCTATGCAATAATGCAACCAACCATTGCAGAGGAGTTACTTTAGCCTTCCTGGTAATGTTCCCTTAGCAAAGCACAAGTGGAACAAATATCTTCTCATTCTTGTATGCTTGGGCCATTATTTACAATTTAAATCTGTACATATAGGCCAATGAAAGGCACTGGGGCAGAAGGCTGCATGTTTTTCRAAACACTAGAGGACTACATCTTGTAAAACCACTGCAATTAGGGGCCATCCCCTTATTTAATGCACATTTCACTCTCTCACAAAAGCAATGGAGCTACCTCGAGAACCTGGTAATTAACACGTTATCACCATTTATAATGATGAACATAAATATTTCTGCATTCAAATGCTTTGGCGTTAATTGCCAGCCTCCTACAAGGACAGCAGTACATGCCAAGGAAACATCACCAAGGGTGGCTTGATATAATACCACATGTACATTAAAAACACGGCAACATGCTCGAGCTTTTCATGCTCTTGAGGGCCTAACTTGCAGGGATGAATAAGGTCAGTGTGCAGCACGCTCGGAGCTACCGGCACTCAGCTCACTGGAAGAACACGGGCTGGCCGAGCGCTTCTTTCACACAAACCCCAGGATTTGGGCTAAATCCTCTCTGCAGCCCAACAGTAAGGGCCATAGCCTGCACCTGCACATAGTTCCGTGAAGAATTATAAGGAAATGCTCAAGCCTTTGCTTTCCTAGAAAAGTACCTGTGTTGAATTAAAAGGATGGTTCATAAGCTGAACAAGTACATATGCCATCCTATCATCCTTTTCCTCTTTCTTTATCTAGAAGCAACCTTGCCTAATGCAGAATCTTTTAACTATGGTTTGGTAACCTAAAATCAAAGCAAAAAAAATGGAGCAAACAAACAGCACCTTCTTACATCTACATACTTTAATTCATATTGCCCCTCTAGCTTTCTTCCTCATAACCACTTTTTCTCCACATTTAAAAGGAAAAAGCTAATTCAAAAATAAACTAAGGAAAAAAGGCAAAAGGAAAAAATTATAAAGTGACAGCCAAGGAAAGSATAGGCTTTGTAAGGCATCTTTATCCCCTAACTTGTACAAAAAGGAAAACGTTATGCTTTTTTAAGAAAACAAATAACCSCTGAAGTCTGAAAGAACTGGATTTTTTATTTGCTTTGCTTTTAGGGTGCATCCTAGARTGTTCTCTAATCACACTGACGAAAACTCCCATACGTGCTGCCTTTATAAACCATTCAGTCACCACCCAGAAGTTCTCAAGTTTCACATCCTGAATTACTATTCTGTAGCTGCCCCAAAAATAAAGTTTACCAAAGTCATTCTTAAGAGGTCATAGCATCCCCCAAACCTGACCAGGCTTCAGTCTTAGATGGGTTCGTCACAGGTTCTGATTTTTTTTCATTTTGAACTGTAGCTAAATCTCTATACCTCAGGCTGAGCACCTCATATATTGCAAAAAACGTGGACAATGACTAATCTGAAATCCAGAGAATTACCAAATGACTTCATTATACAGGCATACAATGTTTCCAAGAGGATGCTGTTCTGTGCAGTGTTATTCAGCTCTTAGAACATCTCTAAAACAAAGATGCCCCAGGCTAACACTTTGTCATATAAAGCTTGCAAAAAGAGAAGATAAACAATTTGATCTTTTAAACCAGTCTTTCCACCCTCCTTCCTCTTCCACATATCTCTCTAGCTCCAATCTTAATTCTGTCTTGCACTTGTTAGAAGAAACTATATATAGCTGCACAAATTATATGACAAACTAGAACTGCCACAAGAATTTATACTAGATCTTACTAGATTATACTAGAATTTATTTTTTGCTTAGACAATGTGAAGTGTAATACAGCTTTAAAAAAAATTTCAAATCACATACACCACACTTAAGAGAGAGAACACCATTTAATGTGCAGTTTGACTTTTGATAATGTATGCTGGTATGAATGTCATCACAACAAAACTCCAACCAGGTTTTAGTGGACCATCTTCCTATGTRGTATTCTAGAAGTCCCAGATGTCTACGTTGAGAAACACTATCACTACCTCCTATAAGTTGTTCTACTGCCACAAGTGTAGGTAACTCCTGCCTTCCAGCAAAGGTCCAGCTCCARATTCTCCATGCAGTCATGTAAACCACTCCAACATTCACTATCGGTACCCTATGCAAAATTTATTATGTGTACGTGCTTAAAGCCACTGTGCACCACATAAGCATTTTCTAGAACAATGTATGAACTATACACAAAAGCCCTTTACAAAGTCTCAAGTCAATACAAAACTTATTTTATTATTCTCAAATACTTTGCTTCAGAGACATAAAAGTTATTTTATAATGATTAACACTGCAATTCTGAAGAGAACAAAGTAGCTCATATTGGAGTTCTGTTTCGATGAGTAGCTAGTTTCACACTCTCAGTARTCTGAGTTTCACATGACGTACAATAGTGTATAATTCAAACAGGCCAGGCTTCACTTCTGCCTGAAAGAGGTTGTTTTGCTCTTTCTGTTATTCTTCTTCCAGATTAAAAATCAACATGGATAAAAGTCAGTGCCTTCTTACTAAATTTTGATTGCCCATCAATAGCTGTAGAAATTCCACATCCCAGAAAGCGCTTACACGTTAATACTTGACAGTTAACTGGACAGACGTTGTAACTTAAACTGTCAGACAGGACATTACATTCAATACCGTCTTTGTTTCTTTTAAATTCTCAGTTCAGATTAATGAAACACCAATAATACAGCATGTACTTCAGTCAAATATTAAACACTATATATATAAATATATATATAAATATAAAGATATATATAGATAAATATAAAGATATATATATATAAGTATATATATGTGAAATATATATGTGTGTGTGTGTATATATATATATATGGGGGGAGTAGAGGCAGGTGGCTTCTTCTGACAGTGTTAAATTAAAAACCTTACTAACTGATAGGGGAAAGGTCCTCCCCTATTCCTCAATTACATATATAATATATATAATATACATATACAATATACAGCAACAACATCTCAGTTCTCCCCAGAAGATACTGTTTCACCCAAACACATTCATCTCTGATGTAAAGCAATTTACTTACCTTGTGTCTGCATTTAAGTACAACACCATAGGCTCCTGAAAAAAAAAAAAAAAGAAAAAAAAACTAACCCATCTCAAAACAGGAGATAAAATTGCTTCTGGGAAGTAAAACAGTTTTCAGTCACCTCCTGGCTACAGGAATAATATTGTTCCCATTACTATCCTAAACTTGCACATAAAAGATACCCTACTAAATATCTGTACACTAAAGCACTTTTCATTGCTTAAAGGTTTTTGAAGGTTTTTCAAAAAAGGATTTTGAAGTGCTGTTACTTTTTGAAATCATTATTGCAGAGATAAGTTTCATAACCTGCATCTATCCAGTAAATGACACTGAAAGTTATTATAGTAAATTTTAAAAAGTTTACCATCTTTCCCATTTATTTCATCTTCCAATTTCTTTAAGATGAGATTAAATAAAAAATTAAATAAAAAATAATAATTTGATATAAAAATAAATAATAATTTTATATTTCTTAAGATCTGTACAGAAATTATATTTGACAATGATATTTTGTTACTGAAAACTTCTTAACAAAGAGCACCAAGTCAAGTTTATATATAAGCAGGATTCATTTTTGAAGAAAATATTACTTACCTTCACCTACAACCCCAAGGATCTCAAATTTATTCATCACATTACCAATGTTAGGAATCTTCATCAAGACAAATTCCTCTTATAGTGAGAGCCACAAAACATGGCACAGAAGGAGGGTCCAAAGCTTTTGCAGAAGGCAACTGTGAAAAGTCTCTTGAAATGCGGGGGGAAAAATAATCCACCTTGATCTATAGGATGTCTTGGACACTTTTCCAATTTCTAGGCAGTTGGTAGCTTCCTGCGGAAAGAAGAGAAAATAACATAATGAGTATCTTGCTCTATTTCAACAAAAGAAAGCAGCGGTGTATATACACTCTCAATGCTGTCTAACAGGATGGCTAAAATTCATTTAATTCTGTTTCATGAGCAAGAGAATTTAGCAGCATGATTGAACCCATTAAGAATAAATATATGATAGCACAGCTGGTTTAGCAATTCCATACTGTTTGTTAAAATAATAAAATAACTTGCATTAGAAATACTTCCTATGAGGGATAAAAGGACAAAAAGACTGCTGGGAACTACCACAGTGGGTATAAATCCACCTATATATACTCATGTTCTCTCTTCAATTTTTTTTTGGCAGGTAGGTACACAAATAGAGTGTGTTTGGTCATTTTATTTTTTCTTCACTCTAGTGATAGAAAGGATAAAGTACAATGGATACTGGTCAATAGAAAATGTTCTGCTGCTATTATTCTCTATGATTATTTTAAAAGAAGAAAAAGAAACTATCTGACATAGTGACTGGCTACTGTTTTTAAAAGATTAYCCCATTATCAGTTTAAGAGAAATGCACTAAAAATACATACACTGTTACAAGAGTATTTTTTCCTCTGTGTTTTCTAGACCTTGAAGAAGCTAAATGATAAATGAAGCAGCAGAGAGAACACGTTTTTGTGCCGTGCAGATTTTCGACTCCAGCCACCTCTCTGCTGCAGTTTTAGAAAGCTGATAAACTAAACACACCAAGGCACGCGCCACGTGCTCAAAAAAAAAAACAGGGGCACAAAAGTCTGTAATAATTTCCCCAGCCAAGGGAGCTACGGAAGGTCCCGGTTCAGCGCGCTGAGGCCGGGGCTGCTCGTGAGGAGGGGCAGGGCAGGCCGCGAGCGAACTCCTACGACCACCTTGGGCGGCGCGGCGGGGACCTGCCCTTGCCGACCTCAGCCCAAACCCCCGGGGCGTTTCAGCGGGAGCCCCGGGGCGCCGGCAGGAGCGGGGCCGCGCGGGGCCAACCTGACCTGGGGCCGCCTCAGGATGGGGGCCGCGGCGGCGCCAGCCTCAGCGGGGCGCCGCGCGGGGAGCTGGCGAGGCCGCCCTCTGGAAAAGCGATTCAAGCTTTGATGAAGTGGGGAATTTTGGAAATGAAGATGTTCCCTTTTCCTTAGCAGAGTTAATTCAGCTAGTGTTTTTAATTAATGCCTTTTTATTTATCTGCACACTTCATGAATCCTCCTCTCCTTTCCCTTCTGCACGTGCTCTTCCCTTTTCCCATTTTGCATGTCCTGCTCTSGGGAGCCAGGCTGGCCAGGCTCTCCGCACACAGCAAGGAACCGCAGCCCAGGCTCAGGCGCAGAGGAGAGGCCCATCTGAGCAGCTCCCTCCACCAGCACCAGCACAGAGCCCTCGGGAGCTGCTTTGGACACCCCATTAAACAGGCTTGTGCTCAGCAAGCAGGCACAGGCTGTAGATGAGCAATGCGCATCCTGACAGAAAGACACTGGAAGGGCCATTAATGCTCCGGCATAAGCAAGAAAACCAAAGCAGGCAAGTGCAGAAGTGCTTGTCAGAAAGCAAGGAACATTCAGAAAAGATATACTCCGTTTTCTATTAACGCTATTCAACCATGTTACCAAATCTGCTACTTCAGTTTCCACGATRTATTGGGAGTTTCTTCATTGTTTCTTTCTAGAAACTACCTCATGATTGAATTCATTACTTTTCTGCTTCTGTCATTACCACATACTGCCATTCTGCCTGCACGGCMCACAATAGCTTTTTGATCTAGCACTAAACAGTGAAGAAGTTAATGAGATAATGTATCAAAAATTTCACAAGAAGTTCAGATGTAGGTTCCTCTTTCTCTTCATTTATAATTTCTGAAATGCTAATCAACCACTTACATTTGGGGAACATAATTTAGTTTTTCRATCAAACTTCGCTGCCTACAGCTTATGATTGACATTTTTTAAAATAAAGTTTTGCAAGTATAATCAGCATTCATCCTGKTTTTTTATTGGGAATAAAGGTTAGATTTACTGCTGCTATTTACAAAGCCRACTTCCCTTTCCAAAATTTGATATTAACCATCTCCCCGCACAGACGCATTTGCCTTCCAATTGAGCAGGTTTTTCTCTGGTTGATTTCATAGTCAGAGCCATAGAAAGCCAGGTTGCTCATTACATTAGTGCTCCTGGATGCACGTCATCCGCAAGAGCATCCACACGCTTTCGCCTATGGAAACTGCATCAGCTCAACTCACATACCGGGGAGCATAAGCCAACAACAGTCAGCTTTGACTACACCCAACATCCAAACCCGTTCTTAACATCTCATCTGAGCTGCAGCCCATGAGAGAGAGCAGAATCGCAGGTATAGTGGAATTCCTCCAAGGAAACGGCTCCTGAGGGAGCTGCTGCTTCCGTGCCAGCTCCATGGAAACCTTTGTGTCGGCTCTGTAGTGAGGGCATCCTGATAATGGAGCCTGGGAAAGAGCAGGATGGCTGCAGAAAGAGGCAGCAGCAGGAGAAGTGGCGCCTGCAGCAGCAGTGGCTCACGTGGACAGCAGCCCTGCTCGCCCTAGCTGGGTTGTCACATCTCCTCCAGCAGGACTCGAATTCAAGTGCCCTCCTTTAACGCATGAAGCGACAGGTAACGATGCCCATCTAATCCCTGCCTACTCCACTGTTTTAACGAGTGTAATGAGAAGCAGAAAAAAAAAGGTCATTGTCTAATTGTGGAGATGAAGCCCAGATTTGTTCTCTGGCTCTGCAAGAGAAGAGCTGGTTAAAAGCCCCCACCCAAAACATTTTCCATTCCAGCTCCTTCGAGGCAAATTGTGCATAACTTCTTGAGATCTTGGCCAGTAAAAAATGCTGAAAGTCTGAAAAGAATCACTATGAACAGTTCGGTCTTTCCTTGCTGCTTAAAATACTTCATCAAGGACAGCACCCGGTAAACTTTTCTGGGGAGAGGGTCTTGTTTTTTTAAAAGATACTGGGTTTGTTTAAGGCAATAAACCCTGATTAAGGCAATAAACCCTTAAAACCCTGATTCTTGAAGGGAATCAGGTAGATTGATATCTCCATGAACTACGTTGAGTCTTGAGAATGATATACTGAGTAACAGTAATACAACCTTGAAGTTATGACCAAAAGATAACTAAATATATGTAGATATAGACATCTCCATAGCAAAAAAAAAAACCAAAAAAACAAAAAAAACACCCCTTTACTCGGCAAATTACTAAGGACAGTTTGGATTCTTTCAAGAGCCTCAGCACTGGAAACAGCCCTGCAAAAAAACCTTACAAATAGCAATCACTAAATTCTTTCTGGACACCGAGTAGCACGCAGGTCTGCTGTAATAGCATTGGCTATTTTATTACTCTTAATTAACTTGCCCGCTGGCTAGAACTAGAAGCCTTGCAGAAGGGTAAATTAGGCTGTTGTTTACCTGACAGAGCTTCCAAACGAGAACTAGCACTCCTTCTCCTAAGCTGCCTTCCAGAAGCAACAAGATTTACAGCACATCAAAAGTTTACAAACAAAAACAAGAGACACCCGAGATGGTCTTGGTGTTATTCTGACCGTCTGCACAATCCTTAGCCAAGCGAGACGCCTCGAAACGAGCCGGCACAAATTAGTCTCCCTTAACGCAGAACTGCAATAGTAGGAGACTTTAATAAAATTTTATAATAGCATGTGAGGTTTATACATCAAATACAAAAATCTGCATAAATATTCTGGGAATGAACATATAGACTCTATTACAGCGATGCGGTACCCGATCATTTGCATTTAAATTAAAAGAAGGGGGAGAAGAAAACCTCACCCTTTCCTCAACTCCATTTCTCTTTATGACCACTAAGAGCTCTGCAGCATCACCCCAAAGCATCCCACTTCCATGTTCTCACCGAGGTCTTGGAAGTATCTTGCATTTCCTACACTGCAACAGAGCAGGGCAATCTTGACCCTGCTGAAGTCAGTTACAAGCAGCTATTTGACTTCAGGTTCATCCATTAAGTTTCTAAAAAGCTTTTTGTCAATAACTAAACATCCCTTGCTCTCTTAAATCACAAAAYCAATTGCATCATTTTAAAAAAATTAATTATTTTTACTCAGAAAACACCACTAACAATTTTTAGAGGCCAAGTACACTTTCATAGGTTTATTTAAAAAAATACTGGGTCAAACAATCAAAGCACAATTCACAGCACCTAAGTGTCTGTCTATGACAGTTTTAGGTTAATTCAAACGCTGCTGTGTCTTCTGTCGCACAAGGCACGCATGCAGAAGGCAGCATTMACTGCCTTTATTAGTCATCAGGTGCCACTAATGCCTCTTCCTCCTCCTCCTCCTCATTGTTTTGTGTTGTTCTATTTCTTGGTGTTTTCCAGGAAAAAGCTCATACCTTTAGGAGTGCCTGATTAAGTGGGTGACCAAGCACAATGTGCAAGGCACTAGGGCAAGAAGATAGATGGGAGATACTCTTCTGGATTTTTTTGATGCTGAAGAACATGCCAGGAGCATTATGATTTCTCTTGCTGATTAGGAAGAGCAAACTGAGCATGTAAACAGTTATAAATAGGAAACTGGTCATATTATTTCTTTTGGGAGACCGGCTATACCATTAGCGTTGGAGTTTGGAGAGCTCCTGCCAGTTCAGTTGCTCTGTGTGGAACACGGCAGCCACTTGCTTTGCCCCTTTTATAAGGGCAGAGTAGATGCTCTACTGGGACAAGGAACAGGACAAGGACACATAGACCTCATAGTACATAATTCCCCACACCTGTACAGGTGTTTTTTTTTTTTAAAGGCAACATGAAACTGTGGCTGAGTAGGCAGGCCTTTATTCACGGGCTAACCTTCATCCTTTTCTGCTCATCAGTAACACAAGAATGAAAAAGGACAGTGGGCAAAAATTTACACAAAAATGAAAAAAATGCCAAACTTGAACATGCGCAAATCTAATTCTGGAAGAACGAAACATTGAGGTTGCTTGTACCAGCTCGAGTTTAAGCTTGTAAAAACTTCCATGTGAAGTTTATTTASCATATTAGTATCATCACTGAAGTTTTTTTAAAAATATATTTATTTGGATACTGTTGATACATTCTGGAAGGCCATCTTCACACAAATGGCAGAAAGGGTAAATGCTTCCCCTCTCCATGCAAAAGACTAGGGAAAAAAGGAATCTGAACAAAGCTATCATTCCATAGCAAACAGAAGACTAGCAGAGSATTTTGAAGCAGCTCCAATCTATTAAACATACCCATTTGGCTGAATTCCCAAAGAGAAACTGAACTTGAAGACCCAAGACTCCAGTTAGGATTCAGTTTGTTTCATCTTGTTCTACCAGAGCTCTCCCTTCTGCATGCAAGCACAGATTCAAAAATAAATCCTGCTTGTCCTGAATGCATAAACTAAATTCACTTCTCAGAGTTAAAAYACAGGATTCCTGAGCCTCTCTGCAGCTGCAGCCAACTCGGAAAGAGCTGGTGCCTAGCGGGACGCTGCAGTGACAGGGCAGCACGTTGGTTATCGGGCCCTTTCGCTGTCCGGAGGATGAGAGGCAGCTCCTGCGACAACCGAGCACCCAAGCTAGTGCTTTCCAACCTACTCTGGTATTTAAAGTGTTCCCATCAAAAGAGGCTTCTTTCATTTTCAGTTTTTCCTTCTCTCAGAAGACTACTCTCCAATAATATCCTACGCTTATTTGTCATAGTGATTGCTATTTAGTCCCGTATTTTCCTTGACGGCCTGCCACGGACTTTAAAACTCCAGGCTATAAAGCAACATAACTAGCGCAGCTTTTTCATCTTTAATAATTACCAAAAAAAGCTATAATTTTCAAAGAGTTCCATGTTAAGCATGACTCTGTGACCCAATCCCACACTTGTGTCTGAAGTCTCATGATTAAAAGAACAACAAAAAAAAGGTTGTGCATAAAAGTCATCCCTCTTTACCACAAAAAAAAAAAAAAAAAAAGAAGAAACGAGCACATTCAGGCAAAGTCTCGAGCAAAGGGAATTCTTGTCCAAGAAAAGCATAATATATTATCTCTAAGGAAACATAATAGAGTATCTAAACAGCTGAGGACCTGCAGAAGTGCTCTAGGGTGTGAGCTAAGCACACGTGGGGCAAGACAGGGGCTCTCCAGGGCCGCTCTGCTGCCTGCTCCTCAGCCTCTGGCTCTCCAGTTCCATGAACTCCCTCACTTCCTAAAAGTCCTATGACCCCTTCTGTCCAAAGGAAGAGAAAAGCAACAAAGGTGGATATGTAGGGCTTTATAAATATCAGATGAAGGCTGAAACAACRTGCTGTGGTTCTCTAACAGAGATCAGAAATAACCCCAGGGACTACTCTCCCTTGCAATTCTCAAGTGTATCATTATAGACAGATTGCTGGTTCACGATCTGGAGCGAAGGGCAGGGGGCAACTTCCCCCCCAAAGACATACCACAGATCTGGAAGAAATAGAAAAATGTGAGAGGGGAACCCCACCACTTTTTAAGGGTAAAATAGTGTTTCCTCTTATCAAACACCCAAGGAAACAACAACTAAAARCACTCTAATTAAGCCACTAAAATATTTAACAGATTTCTACCATTTGATCTTGTTGCATTTTCCAGGCAGGAAGAGGCATTTTCTTGCACTACTGCCAATCCATCCTTTACAAAACGGATCTTACAGCAAATGCCTTCCAAAGTTTCCAAGGAGAAGTCACTCAATTACTGCTGCAACTACAAGTATTTTACTCGTCTGCTTTTCAGCAAAATGATGAATGATTCCTGAATCAGGACAAATAAACTAATGGGATATTTCTTATACCATAAATCTGAATGTTCCAAGTTCTTCTGAGAATTAGTTTACTTCCCAAATAGCACATGGAATAATCAGGAAGCCTGTATTTGGGTTTTCTCTTGGACTACACAAACAAAGGAACCGTCAGCAATATATTAAATCTTTGCCTCTGCAGAAAGTCTCCTCTAGGCCACATGATGGTTTATTCTACATCACATCATCTGTGGGTTTGGTTTATTTTAATAAACAGTAGTTTATTTTTAAATCAGATTCAACATCAATTAATATAATCAGGAGCTACTCCTTCCTGAGAAACATTGCCTTTGATGTTACAATAACCTTTCAAACCAACGTAATCCCTGGCCGCATAAACACAGGCCWCTTCATACATAAATTCACATTAGTGTGCAAGCACATGCACAGGAAACACACTGAAAGAGTACAGTGATTTTTGATTTTAATTMGATGGGGGTCTCACAATCAGTCTCAAACCACCTTCCCCCTCTGCCCTCGCAAAAATCCATATCCAGAATCCCAAACTTAATCCTGCAGAAGTATCTCACTGCAAGAAATTCAAGAGGGATTCTTCTTGCTCCGAATTTGAAGACATTATGATTAATCCAATACGCATTAAAAGCTATTCCAAGGACGTTACTATAGACTTACAGCTTAGCTTTCAGAGATAACACTGACACATACAATAAATACATTCAAGTATTTTCAATATTAACACTTTATAGACAACATTAACACCAAAACCTATAGATTATGCTATCTGCTACATGAGGAGCATGTTAAAACACACACACGCACAAACTCCCTCCCTCCCACTACGCAAGACTAGAAAGGGTCTGATAAGCATAGAAAATGGAACAAATCCATTAAGTGAAATCCAAGTCAGGAAAATCTTCTCCAAGAGGTACAGACTATGGCTATTTAAACTAGCCGCAGTTAAAATAAAATAATAATAAAAACACATTCCAAARAAAACAAGCAAACAAAAAAATCCTCAAATTTGAGTTTCAATCGGCATGAGCTGCCTTTACCAGAGCATAAGACCTTTGGCCCTTCAGGAACAGAGCACCCGCAGGACGTTCTGGAAGCRGCAGCAACGCATCCACTGGGAAGGGATCCCAGGGAAATGCCAGGAAGGAAGCCTGTGTTCCGTGCAAACCTACTGCAGACAAACTACGGCAGCAGAGGCAGCAGGCTGCAGGGGCACCCATTTTGAGGGGCCTGGAACACGCTCGAACCTCATTCGGATCCGTACACGAAGGCAAACGTCTTTGGAAGACATTAAGGCGACCAGGTCTGTTCCTGGAACGCGTGGGCACAGTGCGTCATCGGAGGGAAAACACAAAAGCAGAGAGACAGGAGACTGCTTTGGCACGAGCCTCGTTTCAACCAAAATTAGCTTGACAAAGAGGCAGGGAAAGCACTGAGGACCAGACCATGACTGAGGGTGAGATCATATTTAATCTCCACTGCACCTCGCTGCACCTGTGCGTGGAGACGAACTGAAAAGTTCATCCATGCCAAAGAAAAGCACACTGCAAGCAACACTTGCTCATCCTTCGACTATTTGTTGTATCTAAACACAAAATGTAAATTCTATTGAAGTTGGAACAAAAGTATGCAGAGAATCTACCCCTGAGTCTTTTTACTTTAAAAACTGAGATTTTTAAAAAATGCGCATCCCAGCGCGCGGCTCTGCTAGGAGGCCGCGAGGCGCCCGCTGCCTCCGTCGCACGGGAAGGAAACTGGCACCAGTAACATAATGCTACAGGTGAACAGGCTGCCACGCTGYCTATCTACCCAGTGAGAGAAACACATCATGGCATGGCTGAGTTCCCCCGCCCRTCACACACACTGTCAATTTTTGATATGGTGGCAGGGGGAGAGGTCATTTTTAAGCCTGGCAACTCTGTTTTTATACTAAGGCAGAAGGCAGTTTTGATTACTGGAGGAATTTTTAAGAAATTGAGGAGCCTAGTTTAGACATAATCTATATTWAATTTCTAAAACTTAATGGACTAAAAACATTTATTATGAAAGCTCATGGCAAAAAACTTTTAATCACTTGTGATGTTCATTTTTCCTCCCCTATTTCTTTTAACTGCTAGATTGAACTCTGGGGGCTTGTCTATATTCAGATTTTAAGTGTTTTTGCAAAACTAAAATAATAAACTTTTTCTTTTACTCTCTAGGTGTTGCAATAAAATAGTTATCAGAACACCATATTTGAAACCATCCCATGGCACCGGTTCTTTGCCTAAGCAGAATTGCCATGGGAAAAATGTGAGTCTGAAGCAAGTGAAAGTCTCGCCATCTGACTCAGGAAAAACCCGAGTTCAAAAGCCTTAGGAGGCATTTGGCTCCATCTCTGCAAACAGGATGCAGCAATAATTTTTGCCTATTTAACCGGAGCAGTTTTGATGCCAGTCAGTAAGAATACACACGTGCATATATGTCAGAGTAACAGCCTCGTGTCTCARTGCTCCAACTTTGCTAACACAAAAGTTACCAGTACCTTTTCTCTGTCCACCTGCCCACCAACAGTGCCCTTGCAAAAAGTACATATCTCACCAGCCACCTTTAGCCAGTGTTGTAGTCGAGTTGTTGTTCAGAAAAGCTCAGCAACCAAATGTTACCGCACTGGCTGACATTGTTATTCTGGCAAAAGAAAAGACAGCTCAACTAAATACAGAAATTCCCTATGGAAAGGCAGGAGGTAGTGAAAGACACGAGTATTTCCAAGTTAGTCGCTGTATTTAATGTAAAAGGAGGAATCACRGGAACTTTTGTCATCCAAATTCAAGGACCAAGTACCCATGGAAAAAAATATTTAAATGTAGTTTGGAGCGGGCAGGGTTGGCTCCCAAGCAGGCTGCTTCAGGGGGGTCTGAATAAAAGCTCCCTGACATGCTCATGGCTTCTTGCACCCAAAAAGCCAGTGGCAGCAGAAGCGTGTCTGGATATGTAAGTGACCCAAGAGAGGGACTTGAAAAACAGGTCTTGAAGAAAGGCAGCTGCATCTRAACAGTAAACAGTGTTGGCAGCCCCACCAAAGGACTGGCAAAAGCAGCTTCTGATCCAGATTTTCATCCTACAAGCCTTTCTCAAGCCTTCCTTCCATCCAGGTTGAATGGCAGGGAGATGAAAAGGGTGCCTGCGACCTTGGGGAAAGAAGCATGGGGGAAGGCAGGAGGAAGGAGGAAGCCATTGCACAGAAGGGCGCAGGGAAAGGCTGGCTCACGGGGCAAGCTCTTGCATAAAAGCAAAGCTGGGCAAATATAAGGTGCTGCTTTCAACGCCAGCACTGGGTGCATCTTGAAGTTACMAGACCCAAGATTTACATGATGAGCTCACAAGAAATATGGACTTAGATGGCACACAAGCCACAATTTGCATAGCTGACTTCTCAGTTCCTGGTACATTCAGTTGCTCGGTGTATGAATACTGARAAAATTAAGGGAAATATGCAAGCAGTACTTTTATTAACTGCAAAAGGGACTGGAAACAAAAGTCTACTCCACCAAGACTGCCGTCAGGTGGCATGAAAAGAAAGGCAGGGCACAAAACCAAGGAAATGAGGGTCGGCAAAAGCACTGGGCACAGCAGGCAGAGAAACAGTTGGTTGAGAGGGCTGAAGCGAACTGGCCTGAGCCAATGTATGGCTGGTGAGGGCGGCTGCTCTGAGCTTCCCTGGCAAAGGGCTCTGGCTGCGGAAACCAGAGACACGGAAGGGCTGGCTCGTGTTTACCCTAAGCAAGAAGCTGCACAGGATCATAAATACAGAGGTTATAAGCCAACCCTRAATACTGAAAACTAAAATTAAGAAGTTAAACTTGAATAGTAGCATACAGCTATAATCAATCCATAAACTATTACAGACAGCAGTTAYTCATAAAACATTACAATATTGATCCCATACCTAACACACACAACAACAAAGACACTACTTTTAACCACGCTATATTATTTCCTTCCATCCCCCTTCTCCGTTTCTAACGTTGGTAGCGCAGTCTCAAGCTTTCTTGTCACCCAGGCACAGACATATGATATTGGTATCTACTCAAAGCAAATAATAAATAAATAAAAAGTCTGAAATAATCCCCACAGGTGACTCCGAAGAATTTGCTCTTCTCTAACAGCACCACTTTCTCCATTGCTAGGACTGCACACTAAACTCCTTTAAAGGTAAGTTTCACTAATGTGCTTTAAGCCTCTTTTGGTAACAGTTACTCATTTGCTACTCCCTCCTACTCATATCTTAAAGAGAAAAATGTCTAATATCCCGCTGAAGCTGCTGTTGTAAGTAGTTTCTTCCTCCTAGAACTAAATAAGAAATAATGTGGTTTTTTCTTCAGCTCAAAATACAGAGCTATATTGATATGTACAGAGCTATACTGCTAGATAGAACATATTTTCTTAGTATATAGGTGACATTTCCCACCCCAAACAAACAGGATCAAAAAGCAACTAAATTAGGTCTCTTTTCTGAGGTGGAACTCCAAACAAATGATATTAAATGAATTTCGTTCTCTATTTGCATTCCTTTTAACAACTGATGAAAATGCTTAGTAATTTAGAAGAACCCCATTTTTAACGTGCTCATGCTTAAAAAAAGGCAAAACACACTCCAAAATTTACACAACAGCATTTTGCAACACACTGGAGCTAAAAAAATTTGTTCTCAGGAAGATGTTTATTGGGCTACAGTAATTCTCTTCGTCCTTTCAAAGCTTGAAACACACCTTCTGTTGAATGCTATGAGTCAGTTTTAATGACACTGTTATGTTCTATARCTCTGTAGCTTATGCAAGAGAATAAATTTGCATTAAGCGTCCAACTTTAGAAGCCACCTTCTCTTCTCCATTGTTAGCGCTGAATAATAGTAAAAAATAGGCCATATCCCCTGCGTGCTCTCTTATTGTTTTATAAGAATAAGTCTAATTAGCTGGCTGATACAGAACGCATATAAAATTTTTGGTATTGTCATCTTATGGACATGTACTAGTCTCTTACATTTTTATATAATTCTTGCAGAATATTTAATACTCTTACAGAAAGCCAGAAAAATATGAAATGCAAGGATTGCTTTCCGTATTTAGACAAGTGTTATCTGATCAGTGCTACTGCTCTTCCATCCTCTGCTCATAAAAGAGAACACAATACCTTAGAAGGAGTTGAGTTAGAAGAAGGAATTAGGAGGAAAAAAATATATATACCTAGCATACTGCTCTTCCACTTCTTATGTCCTCTCATTTAACTCAAAACCTATTAGACCCACTCGTCACAGTATGTTATATTTATGGGGCTTTTTTCATTGTTGTTGTTCTGTTGAAAACTTGATTTTGTTTAGCTCAGCTTGACCAAGGAAAGGTTTGGCCAATTTGCCCCTGGAATTACAATGAGCGACCGGTGTCATAGCTGGCTCTCATACAAACCAATGGCCAAACCCCCTCACATATACATTAGTGCAGACATATACATTCACACAGACATACAAAGTTAATGTACTATTTTTCATCTGTTTATACGCACATCAACATCCTTGTGAGCGCACATATGTGAAATGAAACGGGACCTATTCCTCCTCCAGCAAATTAGTCCTCCTAGAAAYTGTATTTGATCACCACTTCTTTTCTTTTTTACTTACAGGAACTTACTGCAAATTCATTACCTCTGTCCTTTCCTATTCTCATCACCTTCTGGAAATAAAGCATAAATATAGCACATCTCCTCAAAAGCTAAGACCCATTCCCTTCTTAGCACTCTCTAACCAGATCCAGAATTAGTCAAGCCAGAAAAAAAGGCCGTTTCTTTTATATTTTCAGTGTAAACTCTGAAGTTGAACCAACAAGGATGACAGGGAAGGATCTGATGGACATCTTCCTCCATGGTTTGTCCATCTGCTATAATAGGTGATATATGATACAGTGCCRCTGGAGAAACAGACACACTCGAAATACACAAAAGCAAGAAATCACCACTGAGCATCTGGAGACCYGCTACAAACAACTGCTTTCTGAGAACTGTAGGTGCCAACACTTGTAAAATGTAACAACACTCTGCACAAAAGCACTATATGTTTAGAAACCTGTAAAGACTGCAGGTCATGAACTAGCAAAGAAACTGCATCTGTATGAGGGCAAAAGAGAGAAGTGTGACCACCTATATCTTCTACAACCTGAGTAGCAGGTAAGGGATATTGCCAAACATTTTGGAGAAAAACTTTCATTTTCATGAAAACAATGCAAGAAAGAGTCAATTGTCTCTGCAAACACTAAAAGATACCACTTCTCAAAAGGAGAAATGTGTTGTTGCAACCTGCTTTCAAATCTTGGGGCAAAATCTGCATTTCAAWTACCACGCAATTAAGAACTGGACTGGAGTAACAGTGCCTTTTCAGACACATAAATTCTCATAGTATCCTCATTCTTTTTTGGTGTGGAAGGGAGAGGCCTCAGCTTGGTACTTGTGTAAAAGTTTACTCTTCCCTTCTAAGAACTTGTCTTCATGGTACTTGAATCTRCTCCCACAAAACTAGCTCCCAAATCACTTCAGAAACCTATTACAGCTCTTAAAGTCCAATTAATTGGGGAAAGGATCCAAGAGCTCCCTTTCCAACTATCACAAACTTGTGTCTTGGCCAGCTGAGAGCTTAAACAAAACAATTTCCTGCCCATAGCTCCAACGGGGATGGCACGTGACAATTTTGCTTGTAAATCAACCTATAAGSCAGCAGCAGCTAAGTAAGCCTCAAAATAGAGCATAAAATGTGTTTGGGTTTAGGATTGGGTCTGCAAGGGAGCCTTGCAGAAAAGACACACGCTTATCACCCCAAGAAGAAGACGGCTAACTAAAAAGGACAGGGAAATATTTAATTCAACGTTCAGATACTCAGGATACAAACAAAAGCGACGGTCATAAATCTAGTGAAAGAAATGCTGCTGGACTTTTTCCAAATTAGCATGTTTGAGCTTATTTATATTCAGTAAATAATTAAACATAGAAGAAAAGTTAAGTGTCATTATTAGGAACACAAATGGATTTGCACCTTAACCTGGAACCAACTAGACCTTCCAATACTTCATTCCAGAGGCAGATGCAAAAGATGTCTTCTAGATTCTGGAAGAGCCAAGTTTCTAATATAACTGAGAAAGATAGCCTAAAAACAATACCAAAAACCTCTGAGAAGCAAAAACGTAAGGAAAAAGAAGTTTGAACTGAGCCTAACTTTCACAATTGCTGAAGTCAGGCATAGTGCTATCCAAAATATTTGGCCTCCTATCTTTAAAATAAACAAGCAAATCCCACCACCACCTCCCCAGGCACACAGACACACAGGCCAGCTCTCCTCAAATCTGTTTGTAAACTATCTTTTACTACTTTAGCAAACACTTCACTGAACATTAAAATCCATCTCTCTACCTATATAAAATCCTGTCTCAGGTATCCAATTAAATCAGTAAACTACTAAAGCCACCATTTTGTAATGTTTAAGAATTCAGGAGACAAACCACTTTAAATAGTAATAACAGAGCTGTTGTTACAGGCACATTAGACAAATATTCAYACACAAATCAGAGCTAATTTAATTGAAAGCCTTTGAGCAGGTTCCTTGCCCAGTTTAGATTTATCCTGATTAG